GATTGGTTCGAACCCTTCATCAGGGATTATCAAGAACATGAAGAGGACGAACAAGCTAACAAGACCAATGAAATATTCACTAGCTATGACGCATTCAAGAAGCGACTTAAGAACACCTTCGGTGACATTAATAAGGAAAGGAATGCTGAGAGACAGCTATGGCGACTTAAACAAACGGGATCTATAGGGGAATATGCGTCGAAATTCCAACAGATCATATCCCACTTGAACTAGGATGAAGATATGAACATCGCACGCTTTGAGGAAGGGCTGAAACCGGAAATCCAGGAGAAGCTGATCTGGATGGAACAACCCAATAAACTCAGCGGGATGATTGCACAAGCAGTTAAGATCAACAACAAACTGCAAGACTTCCATATGCGCAGACAAGAACGAAGCAACTGGAATAGCTTTAATAACAGGCGCACCACGAACTATCGACCAAACGATAGAAGGCCAGCTCAACCAAGGAGCCAAGGGTACGCAGACCCTTATAGGCCATGACTAATGGAGTTGGATGCAGCTCACACGGCACTTTCCAATGAGGAAAGAGAACGGCGACGCAAAGAGAAACTATGTTTCCAGTGCGGGAAGCCGGGACATATGTCAAAGGCCTGTAAACAACCCTGGAAGGGTAAACAGGATGGAAAGAAACAATTATGAGCCACGAAGGAGCTCAGTGCCACAATTAGCAGAGATGGTTATGACACCACCGGCATCATTAAGCCTCAACAAAAGAAAAGTGATAAACGACTCAGGAAGCTGTACAAGGAATGTACAGCATTGAGTGATGAGGAAATCAAAATGGAGCTTAAGAACAAAGACTCCACCAATTACAAAAGCGCAAACGATGATTGGCCTACCAAGAACTCAAATGTACTTGCAGCCACCAATCAAGAGTCACTAATCGGTGATGGACCCAGCTCCGACGAATGGGAGAATTTCACGGCTGAAAATTACATCCAAAGGCTGACAGCGCTAATCAACGAAAGACATCGGGTTATCGGCCCCGATTTGGAAAATACCGACCAGGATGAGCCAGATCAAGAGGATTTTCCCGCGATGGGCTGGACCACTATTGACCGACCTATCAATCCACTTGATGAAGAGTACAGAACTCAGTGGGTGAGCCTTAGTCCCAACAAGGAGCAGCCCCACAAGATTCCCAAGACACCTAGATTTGAATCCCCACAAGATGACGATGAAGCGAATCAATATGCCGCATGGCTATGGGAGCCAGATCGAGCACAGTTAGCAGAATTAGAAGCACACTAACTGAATGTAAGAATCCTTGAATGAGTCAAGGGAGGAGTAAAAGGATGCACACATCAGAATTTAGAATGTTGGACTCAAGTTGAATCTTAGGAACAACATATGACACACTGCAAAAAGCACACGGTATATTACCGACACTGCAGGCAATGGAACCGAGAATATCACCATGAGCTGAAAAGGGTATTGGAGAAAAGACTACCAGGACCATTTCATGGGAAGTGTGACTATGACTAGTGTCTATGCAAGCATTTCTGAGGACACCCACGACACGAGCAAGTATCATAGATTACTTATTACAGCAACAATTGCAGCATCCATCACGATAACAAGTATATGGCAAAGTTTTGGCCAGAAGTACCGGCAATCGTGAAAGAGAATGACACCTGTCTATGCTAGAAGCTCAAATACTCCTGCAGAGGATATAGGCGACACTCAGAACACAACGCAATGCATTGGATGGCATGCTTTGAGGACCAATGCATGGTACATTACCAAGGCAAATTGACTGGAGGATATTTCCCCGTGCCGCTACACACGACGAAGGCACCAAAATGGGAAACAGGATACCTTACAGCAACAGTGCAACATGGGAAGCACTTAAGAATAGTTATAAACATTCTCAACCAATCAGCCGAAGTGATGATTGATTCAGGAGCAACAGGCAACTTTATGAACCCAGCATTCATGAAGAAGCTAGGGATTCTAGGAAAGACAAAGGCAGTACCTAAACCAATCACAGGTCTGAATGGAGAGAACTTAGGAACTCTCTCAATCACAACCAAATCAGGACCAGTCCTAATGGTTGTGTTGGGACATCTTGAATATCTGAACTTCGATATTGTGCCAATAGGATAGTATGATGTGATGTTAGGGATTCCATGGCTCAGGAATCATAACCCAGCGATTAACTAGAACACAAACCAAATCCAGTTTAACTGCAAATGCCCACGACAGGACCGGCATCAAGGGGAAACCGGGGCCTTACAGCGCGTTAGGTCAAGGGACAGTGACAACGACGCTAAGCAGTCAAAGGGTGGACTGAAGAAAGCAACAACTGGCCAGCGAACAACGGCAGTGTTAGCAGCAACTAAGCCATCACAAAGGACCGTGATGATGGAGCTACCGGGATGGGCACCGGAGCGAGATAGTGATTACACAGAAATCATGACGCCAGATGAAGATTCTGGAGAAAACTCAGAAATCAGGGAAACTGATCAAAGAAAAGTTATTCCCAGGAATACCACGGACCCAGGAATAACATTGCCCTGAGAGTATATCGAATTCAAAGTATTGTTTGAACAGCCCAAACAATATGTCCTACCAGAACACGGCAAACATGACCGCAAGATTCCTCTGAAGGAAGGAACCTCGCCAGCATGCAAGAAAATATATCAAATGTCAGAAAAAGAGCTTCAAGCGCTCAAGGAATATATCGATGAACAACTACGACTAGGAAAGATACGACCATCGAACTCACCGGCAGGACATGGCGTACTCTTTGTACAAAAGAAAGACGGCAGTCTACGACTATGCGTGGACTACAGACCACTAAATGTGATCACAATCAAGGATCGCTATCCACTTCCGTTGATCCACGAAATCCAAGATCGAATTCATGGAGCAAAGTGGTTCACAAAGTTAGATATTATGGATGCGTACAATCACATCTGCATCGTAGAAGGGGAAGAATGGAAGACAGCTTTTAGGACAAAATTCGGACACTTCAAATACCTGGTTATGCCATTTGGATTAACCAACGCACCAGCATCATTCAAGAGATTCATCGAGGAGGTACTACACAAGGTCTTGCATCACTTTGTTATAGTCTACCTGGATGACATCTTGATCTTCTCCGAGAACAAGAACGAACATATGGAGCATGTCAAAGAAGTTCTACAGGAACTCCAGAAAGCAAACATCCATTTAAAACTCAAAAAATGTGAATTCCATGTCCAAGAGACCGAATTCTTAGGACATTGGATATCCACTGAAGGCATTCATATGGACCAGAACAAAGTCAAGGCAATCATTGAATGGCCTCGACCAAAGAACGTCAAGGAAGTCCAGCAATTCATCGGACTTATCAATTATTACCGACGATTCATTACTGGTTATGCAAACATTATGCACCCACTCTTTGCGCTACTCAAGAAGGCAAAGGAGTTCGAATGGGACAACGGCTATGAAGACGCCTTTTATGAAATAAAACAACAAGTCACTAAGGCGCCGATACTAGTGCAACACGACCCAGAAAAAGAAACAACCATTGAAACTGACACATCCGACTATGCGATCGGAATGAGAATGACGCAACCAGGACCTGATGGGAAACCGCGACCAGTCACTTTCCACTCAAGGAAGTTGATTCAAGCAGAACTCAACTACGACATCCATGACAAAGAAATGCTAGCTATAGTGGTAGCATTCAAGGTCTGGAGGGTATACCTGGAAGGAGCAAAGCATACTATCATTGTGAAAATGGATCACAAAAATCTCACGTTCTTCACAACGACGAAAGAACTCACCAGGCGACAGGCTAGGTGGGCTGAGACACTTTCACAGTACAACTTCAAAATTGTGCACTGCAAAGGAACAGAAAATGGACAAGCAGACGCACTTAGTTAATGACCTGACTATGAACTTCAAGGGAAGACAATCGAACCAGCGATATTAAAAGAGCAAAAAGATGGGACGTTAACCTACAACCACCATGTGCTCGCAGCAACAATCAAATTGAAAGAAGACCTGTTAGTTCAAAGGATCGCTGAAGAAACAAAGAAAGACAGAATTATCCAGAAAACACTTGAAAATTCAGCAGACAATGAGAACCTCACCACAGATGACAAAGGATTAATATACTTCCAAGGACTCATCTATATACCCGAGTGTATGAGAACCAAGATCATCGCAAAACACCACGATAACCCAATGCATGGTCATATGGGAACCGAAAAAACGGCTGAAGCCATTTCAAGGAATTATTACTTTCCAAACCTGAGAAGGAAGGTACAGGGATACATTCACCAATGCGAGACTTGCATCAGAGACAAGCCAGCTGGGCACCAGCCATACGGCAAGATGCAATCACTAGAAGCACCAAAAAGACCATGGGAATAGATTACAGTTGATTTTATCGGACCATTACCAAAGTCAAAAGGATATAATTATCTAATGACGGTAACTGACAGACTCACAAAGTTCATCCATCTAGTCCCAACAACAATCAACATGACGGCAACGCAGTTAGCAAGCTTGCTCATGGGACACGTGATAGTACATCATAGGATACCACAGTACATCACGTCAGACAGAGATAAACTGTTCACATCAAAATTTTGGCAATCATTGATGGATTTGATGGGAATTGAGCAAAGACTCACGACTACATATCATCCACAAGCCAACGGACAGACCGAACGAGCGAACTAAACAATCAAGCAATATTTGCGACATTATGTAAATTACCAACAAGATGATTGGGTAGTTTACTTACCAATGGCACAGTTCGCATACAACAACGCTGTTCACTCAACCACAGGGGAAACACCTTTCTTCGCTAATTATGGATACAACCCCACATTGATTAAAGAACTAAGGAACAAAGTACCCACCGCGGAAGAAGCTGAAGAAATGGTGGATACCATCAACTATTTGAGAACTCAACTTTCGAGGGACATCAAATTTATGAACCTCCGCATGGCAATTTACTACAACAGGAAGCACGGGAGTACTCCAGACCTGAAAAAGGGGGAGAAAGTTTACCTACTACACAGAAACATYAAAAYAAAAAGACYAARTYAAAAACTAGACCAYCARAAAATYRGACCCTTYGYAATTRAAGAAAAATTAGGGCCAGTCAATTTCAAACTACGACTACCAAAAAGCATGTCAAAAATTCATCCAGTATTTCATATCTCATTATTGGAACCAGCGCCAGAAAATGCAAAAACCGCTGAAGATGTGGAAATCGACGACAACACGGAGCAAGAATACGAAGTTAAACAAATCCTGAATCACAAGCGAGTTAGCGGAAAACCATATTACCTTGTGAAGTGGAAAGGATATGATACCTCAGAAAACACATGGGAGCCTATCAAGAACCTGATGGGCTGCCACCAACTCATTCAACAATACTGCTTAAAGAAAGATCGAAATTCTCCCAGAAGGAAGGGGGCATCTGATCAATCTCCACCACCATCTGACTAAAATCAGGATTATCAGAAGTCGCAGCCAGCTGTTGGGCTTCAATAGCAGGATTGGGCTGATCAGACGACTTCTTCTCATCCAAGATCCGCAACAACTCAGCATCATGTTCAGATATCTTGAAACCACGCTCCTTAAGAAACTTTTGTTGTTTACGAAGACGGGAGTGTCAGGCCAAGGACTTGGTAACCTTCTGCTGCTTTTCCATTAACTCCTTCTGAATCTTTTCTAAATGTTCTTGCAATTGTTGAAGCTCGGGATAAAGGAGCTCTAATTCGTCATCAGTCACGGAAAGCTCAGAAGCGATCTTCTTCTCAGCATGCTTAAGAAGATCCCACTCCTTTTTGGTATAAAAATCCTTCTTGCACAAGCGACCCTGACGAGTGCACGACGCACACTTGGAATAACGACGAGTTTGATCCATCACGCAATCCTCACCAGACAAGACACAGGAATCACACAGTGTTGAGGTCACGAAGCCGTTCTCAAGGATGTACTCTTCTTGATGAACACGACCAGCAATTTGATCACAGTCGCAAGGAAGCTTCGGTGCACTTTCAAGAACAGTGTCAGCACGACGCTTGGGCATGATGGGCGAACATGGTTAAAAGAAGAAATACCACTCACCTGGGGGAGCGCCGCCTTTTAAATCAAGTTTCAAGGACGAAACGCTAGGAGAGGGGGAGGTGATATTACAACACCAACACAGCCGCATTAGCGCAAGGCGGATGTGACAGGCAGAATCCGAAGGATTATCGAACACCAATCAATCTCAAAATGATCACCCAGCAATCCAGGGAAACACTTAATCCAGATAGATTCCTCCACGCAGAAAAATAGTTCAGTTATACACTACTACACCATATGGGCAACCATCACCACCAGTCACCCACGTGACTGATATCTGGTAAT